CGTCAAAGGCGATGAGCATCATGAACAGTTTCGTCAACGATCTCTTCGAACGCATCGCTTCCGAATCCAGTCGTTTAGCTCATTACAACAAGCGTTCGACCATCACCAGTCGGGAAATCCAAACCGCCGTCCGACTCTTGTTGCCCGGCGAGTTGGCCAAACACGCCGTCAGTGAAGGAACCAAAGCCGTCACCAAATACACGAGCTCCAAATAATTCATTTCTTTGGACCATATAATATCTGACATTAAAACGGCCCTTTTCAGGGCCACCACGTTTACAAAATGTACAGACAATGGAATATTCCAATAATCATTTATGTCGCTTATTTGTACACTACCCGGAGCCGAAATTTTAGATATATTGTTGATTTACAAATTATGTGTTTTTCTGGTAGTAGAAAATCGCGATTCTTAATAGTAGTACCAATTGAGAGATCATCTATAATTATTAATTATACAAGAGTCTCCTGTAGTCCTGTCGGAATCGTTTTTCGTTTACAATAATTTATCATTGAATTCCAATATAACACGTACACAACTACGACTGGTAGGTTGTTCACTTTTAGGACAGTAAAAAAATAGCGACACTTTTTTGTAGGAAAATTAATCTTGTTGGTACTTTGGAGGTCAAATGTAAAAAATACTCTATGTCTAAATAATTATTATAGCTCCACGACTTCTCATAAAATACTTTATTTAATATATATCATAAACTGTTATAAATTATTCTCTTCTCACGGCATTTAAATAATTTTTTTATATTTTATTTCAGCACAACATCTATTATAAGAATATAATAATATTATTCAACCTAGCTGTGATATGAATTACATTTCATTTGCGATTTACGGGATTTTCACCACTTCGTAATTACCTATTCAGTTATAAGTTTAAACATAAATATTATATTATTATTATATTTCATGTTCAGAATTTTGTTGGCAGAAAAAATGTCTACCGGATTAATAAATAAGAATCTGTAAACACTTTCACCAGCATTACAATTTACAGCAGTTACTAACCCGAACCATAGCATATAATTTATATTACATATTATATTTAAATTTTTTTTTAAATATAATATGTTCTATGCCCGTAGGTTCAATCAACTGATAAGCCAAGTTGATACATTTAGAATTATTATTAAAAAATCGTAAAAAAGTGAGAAAAGATACCATAATTATGTAAAAGTAAATATTTACGGAAGCGTTGAAGGGCCAACCATATGTTTTTTTTATCTCATTATTATGGATTATCACAAGTCATTATTATAGATTATAACTCGTAATAACGGATTCGACAACTCGTAATAACGGATTGACAACTCGTAATAACGGATTGGATAACTCGTAATAACGGATTGGACAACTCGTAATAACGGATTGGATAACTCGTAATAACGGATTGGACAACTGGTAATAATGGATTGGATAACTCGTAATAACGGATTGGACAATGGTACGATAGTTATCGTACACATACAATGATTTAAGCCATTTGTATTTTGTGCGAATATTGTAGGTACGATCAGTGTCGCGAGAATTGGGGAAAAAAAATCCCCGTTAGCATTATACCGGGGATTGACTATGTACAAATAATTTAAAAGAATTATGATATTTTTTTATAAATTATATATATAATAATATTATATTAAAAATAAAATAAATATTGTATATTATTATGTTAAAAATGTCTTATACCCTAAAATTACAATATATATGTTTATATATATATATTACCTAGATGGTTAAGTACAGTGTTGGCCTGGGACACCAAAGGCCCATAGGATCAGTTTTTTAAGGGGCCCCATAATGGAATACAAAATTTACTTGACATTTTGGTGAAAAAATGCTCACCAAATGTTTTCCTTTAAAAATACATTTATTCAAATTCTGATTTTTAGAATTATTATGTATACCTAAAGACAATATATATTAAATTCCTGATATTTTTTGTACTACTATGAAAGAGTGTCTTGTGGCTATACAAACTTAAATTTTTCAAATGACAATTTAATTTTACAAATTATTTATCTTGATAGCATAGCCGTGCGCAGGGGGGATGCTGGATATGCCATGGCATCACCTGTAGAGTTAGCACAACCTATATAGTTTTTAGTTGTAAATGTTTTGATTATAAATTAGAATCATGAACTAATTGATAGTTTATAGACTATAGTATCTCAGTTCAAGAATTTAAATATTTTGATTATTTTTTTTATCCTATTTTCTTAATAATAAAATATTCGGAGTTCAGACAAAATAAAATATTAATTAGATTTCATAATTATATTTTCATAATCACTACAGGTAGGTAGGTACCTAAAAATAATAAAATATATTGCTAACTCATAACAATATAGTTGAAATCAAAATCAACGGTGAAAATTGCGGGTTTTGTCACCAGAAAATTCAGGCCCTTGCAGTATTACTTATTTTCATACTACATTATACAATACTATCAAAAATAAAATTAATTCGATTAGTTAGATTATCATTTTTTGTCATTATTATAATTTGATCAAATGCCTGCAGGTTTTTATACTGTTACTTTATTGGAATTATGAAATCACAGTACAAGAATTTCAAATTAAAATATCTAAAACCAATAAATAAGCTAAATAAAATGCACGTTAATTTCTTTTCGCATTATATGGCAAGTTATTCGTACCTATTAAGAGTTTTTGGGGAGTTATTTTTTTATTGTGATAGACAGTGGCGTCCGCAGGGGGGGGGGGGGGTTGCTAATGGACTGAAGCCCCCCCATTGCCCTTATTATTATTACTTTAAAAAAAAGTATTTATCAAGTTTTTACTGTCAACTATAGTAGGTAAGCAAAACATAAATTTCATAAATTATGTCTTACCAGAATGAATTCATTTTTGAAAAAACAATGTACCTATTTGCATACCAATATTCATAAGTTATCTGTAATTTTTTGGTAAAAGTTTTCCATGATTGTTATATAAATATAGTTTGTAATTTATTTCGGATTGCCTATCTAGGTGGCTAACTTGAAAGTTAATCTTGATTTTGAGTTGAGATGACTGACTTGCTAGACACTCCAACACGGTTTTCGACTTTACACTTTTTACATAAGAAAAGGCACCGGACATGCGAAGGCACATACCACTCTATGTGATATACCTGCTATATATAGGTGATAGACGGATTGCTCATTTTAGTTTCGTCTTAAACGGTGATGATTAACTTGATAGACACTTTAACATGCAGGTATTTGCATTTTTTTTTTAAAATTAATATATTATATACAGTATACACTATAGTTAAACGTTTATATGTATTGTATTGGTTAATATAATAGCATATATCTAACTATCTACCTATATGTTAATTTTTTTTAGGAATTATAATTGCACATTTCTCAAAATGTTCATTGTTATATTATATCACACAATAAATACATATCATATTTGTTTGTATGTATATTGTATATAGTTTGAATTTTTTGTAAATTATTTCGTAAGTTGTGTGATAGGGTTTTCACTTATAGCCGCTTGATGTAGGGTCTGCAATCCACCGCAGGTGGATTGCCTACCTGATTTGCTATAGCACATTGTCCGCGATCCGACGAAGTCGGATTGCCTACGTAAGTGGTTAACTTGAAAGTTAATAGATTTTGACTTGAGATGGCTGACTTGCTAGAAACTCCAACACGGTTTTCGACTTTACACTTTTTACATAAGATAAAGCACCAGTCATGGTATGTGCAGGTATACTCTATATAGCCATATATGATCCTGGAGATCGTATCCAGCCTATCCATTTACAACGTTTGTGACGGATTGCTAGACCCTCAAACTTTTAACATTCCCGCCCAAGCGTCTAGCCTTATCTCCAATCCATATCACTAATCCTTATCACAAATCCTAAACTTTCGTCTTACAACCTTTGCGACTTTTATAATTCATTGTCTCCAAAATCGGTACCCACTCCCAGCGAGTCCAACGGGCCCCGAGTTACACTTAGAGCTAGTTACTAAATAAGTCACTGTCTCACACGATTAAAGTATTTAACTGCCACAGCTAGGCTGCACTGGCTTGTTCTAATTCATAATATCGACTTGTGAGTTGAGTTAATCAATAATTATGATATAAAAAAACATATAGATAATAGATGGCTTTTCAACTCGTAATTAGTAATTAGTAATTACGAGTTGTCCAATCCGTTATTACGAATTGTTCAATCCGTTAATACGAATTGTTCAATCCGTTAATACGAATTGTTCAATCCGTTAATACGAATTGTTCAATCCGTAATTACGAGTTGTTCAATCCGTTATTACAAGTTGTCGAATCCGTTATTACGAGTTATAATCTATAATAATGACTTGTGATAATCCATAATAATGAGATAAAAAAAACATATGGTTGGCCCTTCAACGCTTCCGTAAATATTAGTGTCGAAAGGTGAGAAAAGTAAGTCGCTACCAGCACTGCGTCATAATTAAATGGCAAACTGCCTATATATTGATTAATACACTTTGAGGCCGACGTAATATTTTATCTATTCTATTCCACAACAGCAAGGGTGATAACTGATGATAACAGTATCGAGTGATGATAAATAATGATAATAATAACAAATTACACACAGTAAAGTTGTAGTTACTTGCTAGTCAGTTGTTGTGTGTAAGTTATCGTCAATAATGAATTGTTAAAGAACAATTCGGTATTCAGCACTTCAGCTTCAACAATAAAAAAAGTTGAATCATTGAAATACCCAACCCGAAAGTACATGTTAATATATTTAATAATATTAACGAACGATGATGATATATAATACAATTAGGTATTGCTAGTCAATTTTTAATTTTTAATTATTAGGATATACCCAGGTGCATTAAAATAATAATATTATTTGATAACGGATTTCATTTTTAAATTAAGTATTAGTTATTTAATTATTACAATCGGTTTGTATAATGTCACATATCTATTTCATTTGATGGCATAAAATATATCAAAAAAAAAACAACTATGATATCAGAAATTAATGCAGCTATTGAACAAAACGATTTCCAACGAGTAAAAGTCTTAGTTGAAGCTATCGTTGAACAAGTGAGTTACATACATTGTTTTAGTACTTATCGTGTTTGGGGCATAATAATGTATTTCAATTTTTGATTGTAGCACACAAATACATTTCATTTTGACACCTATCATGCCGACAATACTTTCAAACAGTTATGGGAATCTATGTTCCTATGTTTGGCCGCAGACAGTTACAAATGTATTCACAAACAATGTTTAACGTGCATTCGGCTTCTGAGGTAGACTTGTCTTAAAATAACAAACTAAGGAACAATTATTACTTATAGTTTAGCTCCCAAGCGATTTTTTTTTTTTAATTATTCAGAGCACCCATACAACCAGTTTGGACGATTAAAATCGAAAATATCCCTCAATTTTTTATGCAAAACCACCTTTGGAAGGTCATAAAGTTAAGACAAAATTGATAAAAATACATAAACATCCGGCAAACCTGACTATGAATTGTCTGTAACCCATGTTACCCTTTTTGCCAAGACATTTCAATACTTCAATTAGCTATGACTTAAAAACTAAGTCCGACTGACAAGAAAAATTTTGAAAAATCGCATGGGAGTTAAACCAGAATAATTGTACAACACAATTGACTGAATAATTATTATTAATTAGTCTTGAAAGTTGACCATGTATAACTAGATTATGCATCTCAATGGTTACATTACTTTTTGAAAATTACTTATCTATATTAAAAATAATTATTGTGATCCACAGCCGAGACAAAACACATTTAAAAGATATTATAATTGAACAACACGTAAACATTCTACTTCAGTGTGCTAATCTTGTTGAAGACACATTATGCATAGTAATTACAACCGAAAATACAGACGGTAAGTCACCAAAAATATCTTTCTTCAAAAATAAATACCTACTAAATTAAAAATTGTATGCTGAAGATGGTTTACCTACTAAATAGTAAATGATTATATTGTGGTTCTGTCCTACAGTTATCGTAGAAGGCCTGAAATGTCTGTGTAATATAGTCTATAATTGTGACACTGCACAAGAAGTATGCTGTTCGAACAAAACTGTTGATTGCATTGTGCTCAGACTAAGAACATATTTTGAACAGAATATTCCATATGCCATAAAATATTTTGACATCAAACTTTTATTTCTTTTAACGGCATTTAACAAGGATATAAGGTAGACTTCTAATGCATATTTAATTAAATTTTTTTTTTTTTGTGTATTTCCTAACTGTTTTATTTTAGATTAAAAATCACAGAAGAGTTACATGGTCTCACATACCTAACAGAAGTCTTGGACAATATATTACGTGACACTATTGAAGATGCATCCAAAAACAATTCATCTAGCTTACAGGTAACTGACTTATTTACCTGCTAATATAATTGACATTTTAAACGACAACATGAATAATATTTACAGGAAGATAATGTGTTACTCAGCTGTGAAATACTGAAAACTTTATTCAACTTGACCGTAATCCCAATCAGTGAGTCATCTGAGGAAGATGATTATTCTATTTGGATTAGATTGATTTCTATATTACGTGACCTGCTTGTCACCTCAACTTTTGTCCCATTATTTCAAGATAACATCATTTGGTATTTTTCTTAATTAATATATTTAAAAAAAATAAAATAAAAAAATATGTTTTTCTACCCATATTTTGAACATTATTTATTCTTATTATAGCAATGTTGTCAACTTGTTGACAAATGTACCACCACCTTGTTTGGATCAATTGCTGGTTAAAAGTCATTGGTGTGACGTTGATGCTTTAAAAGTGATAGTGAATTTTCTTGACACCCGATTGTGTAGTACAGAGGTATTTCATTATATTATATTATGATGACAATATTTTACCTTAATTTTATCTGGTATAATGATTTTAGAATCCATTATATGAACATATATCACCAGCATTGATGGTATTATTAAAAGGATCAAGATCTATTGCAAAATTCCGTTGTGAAGTTCGACAACAAATTTTACCTCCATTGAAAGATGTTATCAATCGACCTGAACAGGGAAATACATTGCGTAATAAATTGTGTCGTTTGCTCACTACACCCAATGTGAGTCTTCGCGACTTGGTTGCTGAACTGTTATTTGTCTTATGTAAAGAAAATGGTATGAAACTTATCATATTATTTTTATTATACTTTTATTAATGTAATTTGGATCGTTTTTAGTGGGTCGTATGATCAAGTATACAGGATTTGGTAATGCGGCTGGTTTATTTGCAAATCGAGGATTACTTTGTAAAACTTCAAATCCAGATTACTCGTCAGATAGTGAAGATAGTGATACAGAAGAATACCTAACATACAAAGACCAGTTAAGTTTCTATTTTAATTATTACATGTACCAATAATATTATGAACGTTGTCTTTTGTAGAATAAATCCAGTTCTCGGTTGTTATGAACCACCAAAACCTAATCCATTTGAGTGTATGTCTGTTGAACAACAAGAACACGAAGTAATGCAGTTGGTTTCTAAAATGGATAAACTCACTAGGTATTTAAAAACTATATATTATTAACTCATTATATTTCTATTATTGTAAACTATTTCATTTAGGGAAGGAGTGATACAGCCGTGTAAAATTGGTGATGATGGACGACCAAAACCTATTGAACATGTTCTTCAACTTCAAGAAGAATTAATGAATCATTTTACTAACATTAAAAATAAAGATGGACCAGATGATGAGAGTGATTAAGTCGTTAATTTATTTATTTAGTCATTCATTCATTTTTATTTATTATTAACAAATTTATAGTCAAACTTTTTACTCATAGTAAGTATTCATTAGCTTTTAGGTGCCTGTATATGTATAATACTAACTAAAAAGTATAATTCATGTGTTCAGGTCTGATGTCTTCAGATTTAAAATTAGTCATTTTAATCTGCCATCTAGTTAATTTGATTATGCACATACTATTCATACATTTAAAATTAATATTGCAATTTTTGTTACACATTATTTTTAATATATATAATATTTTCGGAAGGTGATTTTTAATGTGAAACACTCATTGTTTTGGTCAATCGAAGAAAAATAAATTCACCTAATTTAGTTTTTTACTTCTTACTCTAAAAATAATAATTACTGTTGTACAAATCTTATAATATTTAACCACTATCTATTATTTTATTAGCAGTAAAAGTTTAAAAGAGCCTATACTCTGACCAAGAGAGAAGTAAACAGTTTTACACATGGTGCATGCAGACTGAGGTTAGTGGACAGTGATCATCACTCCCCAAACTCTGACATTCGGTGTGGTATAGGTATACAAACTGTATACACTGCAGATTGTAGCCAGGTTGTTGGGCAGTGTGAGATAAGGATGCACAATTTCTGGCATTTACAGGCACGGTTTACATCTCTCGTGAGTGGCCGGAATATAGTGGTTGAGCAAATATTTTTAGTGTATCCCTTCATCTTTTTAAAAAGTTAAATGTTTACGATGTTTCTAAAGATAAGACTATTGTTTTAAAGTTCAATATTTATACAAAGATATTTTCTATTTCATATTAAGACAGTAAAAAATAATGTTGACAAATCTAAAAATATTTACTATGGTAGTAAAAATCTCAAATTTACTGCTAACATGAGTGTCTTTATTTTAAAAAAAAATCTTTATATTATACTACTTATATAATGTATATTTTATTGTATAACTTGTAGTTTTTTTTTCCATCTTATTACAATATACATGGTACTGGGTACTAACTTCATATTTCAAATCATTTTGAAAATGAAATTATAATATATAATTATTAGTTAAGCAATATTTATTAATTGTACAATACATTTTAAAATATCTTAAATGTTATTCATCTGACCATAAAAATTGAAAACAATCAGTAAATGAAAGTTTTTTTGCTTTCTATATTTTATTTCTGTACACTTCATGCAAAAACTTTTTCAATTCTTTTCACAAAATACATTGTTTTAATTTTATAAATAATGAAAAATTTTTGTTTCTAGTCATATGAATGTTTGCATTGATTAATTCTTGTAGTTTGTTATGTTTATTTTATTGAAATTCCCTCAGTTACTAAACATTATACAGGGTTAAATAGAATGCATGAAAATTCAAAAGTTATTTATTATTAATAATTTCAACACACACCAATTATGAACATTTAATTTTGTTACTTGAAACATCATTAAAAAGAAAACTTTGTCACAGAATGAAAGAAATTAATTATTTTCCATTTTACAATAAACGATTGAAGAAATTTAATTTTAAAAAAAACATTAAACAAGATTATACTCTGTCTCAAAAGAGAATAATCAGTCGGTCGACCGGTTTTTGGCAGTGCCACGCATCCCCCACCAACTTCTCCGTGTTAACGTGATCACGTGGTTCTCGATGCACCAATCGAATCATTTGTGATGCGCGAAAAGTGATTATTCTCTTTTGAGACAGAGTATACACGTCACTATCTTACAGAAACAATTTAACAATGGGCATTTTAAAGTGGTTGAAACCTTAGAACATATTCAGTGGTTGGAGATATGTGTGTATTGTTCGTAGACTGTGCTGTGTTCTACATAAAATAACTATTTAAAATGCCATTAAGTGTTAACTATTATTGATCTTTATCTAAATAACAAAATCTTAATATACATATTTAATTTTTGTATAAATCATTTTAGTCTACCATCTTTTAGACTTAACAAGATATTATTTTAAATGTAGAATATAGGTACATAACTTCCCAGTATTTTTAAGAAAAACACAAATTATACTCTGTAAATTTAAATATATTTTATGAAATACAAATATTTAAACAATATTACTAACTACATAAACTACTGTATGCCATAAAATAACTACATTGTTATTAATATTCATTTATCGATATTATGTTTTCACTGCTATCTGAATTATTAATTTCAACGAAAGGCCAATTATCATCAGACTTCTGTCCACGGTAATTATATTTCATGTAGTCCGGCTTTTCCTTGCATATATTCATGTATGCCTCACTGATACGACCAAATTCACTGACAGTTAATTGGAATGGTCTTGTGCTTGGTTCTATTGCTGCGGCAGTTAATAATTCACTAGCGAGTTGTTCTCTGACTGGTTTTGGAAATAGTGTCCTTTATAATAAAAAACAAATATTTATATACATTCTAGTAATTTTAATGTAAATTACTCACTCAACGCCCCGAATACAATGTTTTTGTCTGAAACTAAACACAGACCTGACAACTTTTTCAATTATGTCAAATGGCAAATCAATAATTGGTTTTTTCAGAGGTGTAAGGCGCACAACGCCAACATCAACATTTGGTTTTGGAATAAATGCTCGACCTTTAAACAAGATTAAAATACAATTTCAACAACTTTTTCTAAATATAGTTATTTTAGCCTCATAATATTTGTTTCCGTAGTCAACTTTGAGTTATAAATTTAACTTTATAATCTCAATTGGAATACTTTTCAAAACATGTTGTTTATTTATGATCAAATACTGAACAAATAGTTTTTTTTTATTAACAAGCATTTTAATATTAGATTATATAGATCTAAGCACTTAAGAGTTACAGTTTGCTGGACAATACCCAAGTTTCTTACCACAAATTCCTAATAATGCTTTAGATTGTAATTCAGAAAATGAAGATTTCGAACAGGGATTATCTTTAAACAATAACAATGAGAGTGATGAACAGGATAATCGAATAACCAAAAGTTTGTAGAAAATTATGTGGTAGCTGACAGTTAACAATTGATTAAAACAATGGAAAATTCTTCATCAATTTAAAAAAATGCTCTTTATATAAGAAATACCCAAGAACATTTAACTCCAAAACATTAACATTGTTGAAAAATTTTTTTTACATAATTATAAATTGTTCAAATATACATTTATTATAATTTTTAAATTTTTTTAATGACAAATATTTTGAATTTTTAAAGTATTACAATTTTGAAAGTTTTAGAGTTGTAATTATATAAATATTTAAAGTTTACATTAGTGGAATGGTGTAGTGTACAACAGGGGTACCGCACAAAATGATTATCCACTAGTCCGCTCATCATAACTTTTTAATACTTATAATTTATAACTAATAAACTACTTGTCCGAAATTTGATTAATATGATATGGAAATACTCCAAATAATATTCTGCTTTGGAATATGAAATTAAAAATGTAGGTTTACATTGTGTAAAGAGTACAAAACTTGAAACCGACTGCCATTACCTTTTTTTCTCCAAAAATGTAGTTTTGAAACTAACTAAAATTATGTAAAAGACATATTTTCAAAAACGTTAATGTTATATGAAATAATGAGTATCTTACATTAAATAGAACAATACTATAATAATTTTACCTGGAATATTGAATTTATGTTCAACCCTACACCAATTTTGACACATGACCGACAGCCTACTCCTTTCTCTAGTCATTATTGGAGCTGCCATTCTTTCAGCAACTTCTTTTTGAAATGTCAATGTCATGCGTACTCGGCCATACCTCCATGCACTTTTCCTGTAAATATAAAAAAGTTAGTGAAAATTATAAATAGAACATAAAATATACTACCTTTCAGATATAGCTTTTAACCATCGTATAATAAGCGGTGTAGAAACATTAAATGGCAAATTTCCAATAAGATGAATTTGTGGACATTTATCTTCCCATTCCATTTTATTGTCTTCATTGAACATTTGTTCTAAATTAAAATTCATTACATCCCCAAATATTAACTCTAATGGTACTGGTGATGATTCAGCCAACAGCTAAAACAAATTACGATATGATCAACACTATATTTTATTCCAACAAATGCTCAGTAAGAGATAACATAAATTATAGAGTATAGATGAAACACTAACCTCTAGGGACGGTGTAAATCGTTTGTCTTTTTCAATTATTAGTACCCTAGATGGCATGTTTTGAATGATTGATCTTGTTATGTTGCCAGGACCCGGGCCAACTTCACATACTTCACAGTCTTTAACAGATCCTGCTGATCTGACAATGCGGCTAATTAATCTTGGTTCCATTAAAAAATTTTGAGAAAGTTCTTTCATAGCACGTAGTTTATATAGTTTAATTAAATCCCTGATGCTAGGCAGGGGTGGCAGCCGGATAATCCGACTTACAGACATAATAATTATGTATAATTTATTATTGTTTAACAGTTACTGCAGGTTCTTCAAAATCGTCCAAGAATGTTTCCTGTTTTATTGAATAAATAGAATACCCGTAGATGCTCAATGTAATACCACCTAGTAATAAACCTGTGTAACGAGCGTTTCTACGCATGCGGTTCAACCTAGTGGCACGAACTAGATTTTGGCGTTCAACAAATTTTATCTGTTGCAGTAATCTTTTATCGATTTCACTGTCTTTCATGAAATCAACTTTGGGCATCTGATCACTGTTAGCCATAGCAAATTCAATCTATTAGAATGCTCGCTTTCTGTAAAACATTGTAAAAAACTATATTAATTGACGACAAATTAAATAAATACTGTTCTTAGGTTCCCTCAAAACATAAGAAAATTTAATAAACATTTAACAAGTAGGTTAAGACCTTATGGTCTATAACTCAATTCAAGATGCTGAACTCATTGATCATTAATAATTAGGTAAGCACATGATAGGTACCTAATACCACAGAATATCTAAAAAAATTTAAACAGTTATGCACACCAATAATGCTATTTGACAAGGCTGGGCATTAACGAGTTAAAAATTAAAATTAAGTTAAAACGTTAAGTTAATTTTAATTAAGTTAATTAACTCGTTACTTTTTTTTCAAATTAACTTTTAACTTAATAAGTTACTTTTTTTCAAGATTAACGTGTTAATTTCAAGTTAATTTTATTTTAAAAATATCTAAATTAAGTTAATTTTCTTCCGAAGAATAATGTAAATTTTTTAATGTGTTTTTACTTTGATGTATCATTTTAAATTTCCCCAGTAATTTTCTTAGACGTAAAGAAAAACTATCTAATAAACCACATTATGTGTCTGGAATTTTCTATTTTTGCAAATTAGCAAATTTTAACTTTACACTAAGTTAAGTTAATTTTTTTTCAAAGTTAACTTTTAACTTAACGAGTTAACGATAAAAAATACGAGTAACTTTTAACTTAACTTAACTTAATTATTTTAAAATAACTTAACTTAACGAGTTAAAAAAAAACATTAACTTGCCCAGCCTTGCTATTTGAGTTACCCAAGTTTTTTAACATTTAGTACAGAAATCGTTGTGCAATTTAGTAAGTAGGCAGGATTGGGTAAAAAACGGTTTTTTATAATATTAAACAAAAAACATGTTTTTATGATTTTTAATTGTTTTAATGTTGTTACTATAATGGGCAGAAAGATGAAAATGTAGGTAAGTACCTCCTCATCCAGTCGAGAAACACGTTAGTGTGGGTGATGGAAAAGGAAACAATTTTAAATAATTCTAACGTATTTACCTGTGTAATTGGCTGACACTAATCGCTATTAAATATTGTAATCCGAGCAAGTGCGTCCAATAAAAATTTAAAATTGTATATTATTTTATACCACAAATAAGACTCGAGGCTGACAATTATTACAAAACAAATTATAATACGAATTCATGCCTTTCGCGATCTACGATTCGGAGACTGTAAACTTTTAACTTGCACAGTAAACCAAGTATACTGTAAAGTTGCACAACAGGGGCAATCCGGCGATTGGGCAATGTAGAACCATCTGATTTTGTGTAATCAGAGGCATAAAACTTACTAATTTACCATAGAAAAGACGTAGGCATATTATTATACCTTTTTCTGATAGTAAGTAAACCAATGGCCACAGGAAAATGGCAGTGGTGGCCGGGTGGTCGACAAGAAGTTAGGAACGAGTTTTTCAACGAACTGTGGATAAAATAAATCAGCTGAATATTGATTACATTTTCATTTCTCATCAACGATAACGATTGCCGCCGGTGCCGGTTTAAACTTTCGGTTCCTCCTGTTCTCTATGACGTTACCGCTTATTTATTTAATATTATTAATCGGGGGGAGGGGGGATTTGGGTATCGTATCACCACTCCCCCACCATGACTTGTTTTAAAAAACTGGTGAACCTTATATTTTACGACTTACGTACTTATTTAATTATATAATTAATATTATTATTTATAGTTACCTAGAACCTACTGTTTTTTTTTAGAAACAACAAATAAAAACCCGAATCTTCTATGGTAGCTGTAATTTAGATAATATTACTTCGTAATATAAACTAATCACTATAATAGTGTAATTTATTGCAATACCAATAATTACACAAATACATTGAAATAATGCAGTTTAGATCGATTTTTGGAAATTTTTTTCAGCAACCTACAGGTATATTTCAACAGGTTGATGTCAATGGTGCGATCAGAATTTGTCGGTCTGACTTGGTTCCTACTGTTCCTAGAGCTATAACATTTTGAAGCTCGGGATTTAGATAAGGTATTTTATGCATACGCAGATTATTCAACTAATCTACTCAAAAAAGTACATGTTAAAACTTTATTAAATAGTTTATAATTATTTATTTTAATGTATGTATTTGGTATGCCATTTATACCTCAATACATGTAGGTACCTACTTACATTATTCAAATTACAGATCACAATGGTTGGACTGAGAGGTTATTATGATATAAAACAACAATTTTTTTTTTTTCCTATTGTGGTGGTAAAGGTAACGTGAGGTTAAGACATAAAGTCACAGACTTCATAATAACATAATATTATAGTATGTAATCTGAACCTCACGGTAAAAAGTAAACAAAAAAACATTTTATGATAAAATCTTACCCAATACCTCTATAATTATAATACATTATTTATCTTTATCTACCTTTCAAAATCACTAAAACAGTTAGCCAGTTTTGAACCTTTTACAAACAAAATTTTGTAGACAACAATTAAATATAATATTATGTCCTGATGAAATATTTAATTTTGTTATTTTTTTTATGAATTACAATAACAATGAATAATAAAAATCATGTTGTTCAAGATCTTCAATAATAATCATTATTTTTATACACCCAGCTGTCGCATAGTTGATGAAATATTGAAAAACCATCAAAATAAATTAATACACTAACTTCAGAATCCATTATCTAATATTAATACAGTTCAATATATAGTTTTTTTTTCTGTTAAGCATATTATTATTTTAGAGAGTTAAATTTTGCATTCAAAAACTAATCTTAATTTAAAACCATATATTGTTTATAATTAGATGAGTGCTTCTTATTCCAGTTCTACTAAATTCCTCCAAAAATATATTAACGTATAATATTATGCTTATTATTAGTGTATTTCAATGTAATTATTTATTAAAAAAGTGAATATAGGAATAATTATAAGTAATAACATGTAATATTGTATACAAATATAAAAAAAAATACTAAAAAAACAACATTTTTTATTCATGATAATATTTACAAAATTAAAGTATTTAGAACTACAAAACCAACAGTTTAATATTTTTCAACAACTAATTCTAGAACACGATTCATGTTAGACACCAACTTTCTGGAATCGTTGATGAGGCCCGCTGTCACCATTGAATTACTGTACAGCTGAATAAAGAATATACATAAGATTAAAATATAATATATAATATTTACCAGACATTAAGATAAACTTAAATATTTTATATAAATGAACGTCTTCTAGAAAGTCTAGAATATTTCAGTGGCGTCGCTAGGGGAGTGGCTGAGAGGGCTGTAGCCCCCCCCCCCCCCCCGAAAATGTTAAGAAAATTAAAAAATAATTTTAATGGTCTATGATAGTCGCTCAGTCTTAAATTGTATTAAAAAGTCTTAAAAAGTTGATCAGCCCCCCTCCCCCCAAAAAAAATTCTTGCTACGCCACTGGAATATTTATAAGCCCCTCGCCTATAGATATTCTTGAATACCCTTAGTGCTTAAAGATTACTTCCATAATTTCTAGATACATGTTTTTTATTCAATCATTGTAATATTGAAAACATTATTTTTTTAGGTGTATGATATGAATGATTATGTAAACACAACCATCAAAATAATAGTAAGAACAACCAAATTATTAAGTTCAGAGAAAACAAATTAATTTAAATAATAAATTATAACATACTTATTGCTTTTAGCAAAATTTGTAGATGGAAATGAAATGGTTAACAATATTATATCAACACCCCCAAGTATATTAGAAATTCTTAGAGGAATAAAATATCATTTAAGTTTTCTTTGTTTAAATTTTTGAAGATAAGTTGTATTGTTTTAATAACTATTTTTAAGTGTAGAGCGATGACATAGGTATTATATCACTGTGAAACATAATTTACCTGTTCGACAATTAATTTAGCCAATTCTGGATTGGACTCTTTAAGTGAAAGCAATTTCTTTATGACTGCATGTCTAAAAAACAAATAGTTGTTAGATACAATTATAAACATATGTTGAGATAAATTACTTAGGGTTAAGTTCAAGTTGAGGCTGAAGGATTGAAAATAACATCTCCTCGTCCATTTGTTTCAGTTGAGTTTTAATAAAATGTCTAGCAGCTGTCATATCATCAACAGTGATTACACACGGATGACTTTCTAATTGTCCAGTAATCTTTACTTTTTTCACTTTATTGCCCAATACAGATTCAATCCAAGGTAATAAAGAATCTAATTGTAACTGACTCAAACTATCAGTACCTATTATACAGACATTTAATGAAATTCAAATGTATTAACTATTATAGTTTTACCCTAACTAATGATATATAATTTTAAACCAACCTAATTCAACTGTTTGAGAACTTTGGTTATTAGCAGTATTGATTTCTTTTTCTACTAATGTTAGTTTGACATTCTTGAAAGTTTTAACTTGATATAAAATGATTTCATCATGTTGCTCATAACAATAAATAACTTCAACATTTTTCTTTTTTAATGCTTCGATGTATGGAGAACTTTCTGCTAAAGCACGGCTATAACAAATGATTTAAAAAATTAAGTTTAGAAATAATATAATATAAATTATTTTATATTAATAATTTATTTATATTACTTAGGAGCAGATAAATAGTAAATATCGTTTTGTCCTTCTTGTCTTCTCTTGATATAATCTTCAAATGACGTTGTTTCACCAGGTTTAGTGTACGATGATTCATATCTTAAAAGACTAGCAAGCTCTTCCTGTAAAATGTAAAATTATAAAATTTAAAAAGCTTCTTTATGACCATTTTTTAATTAGTTAAACTAATTTAGTATACATCTCCAATCAGTAATACTTTAATTTTTATTAGTAATTATTTTTAAGACAAATTCAAAAGAGAAATATTTGACTAAATAAGTATGTGGAATAGAATCACTATAATCAGCTACAAAAAAGTATATTAAAATAATGGAGTACAAACGCGTTCTTTGGGGTC